GCAGCAGCTGCAGCAGCATGCCCCATACTTATCAATAAGAGGCCCAAGACCCGGCACTGGCAGCATCCTGCCTTGTTTCACAGCCTGGCCTCTCCTGGGCACTTCCTAGTCCAAAACAAGTAGCAGCCATCTGCAGATCTCTCTGTAGCTCCTTCCAGGTCACCTGGGCAGTAGCTGACTTTGCACTTCCCAGGAGGCCCCAGGGCCAGTGCACCCAGTGGACAGCTTCTGACCATAGCAGATCACAACTCTATGCATCCACAAGTGACACACTTAAGGGGCAGACTCAGGGAGCACGAAAGCCAAACTGAAGCAATTCCTGCTCCATATGGTATCTCCTGCACAGCAGCTCTCCCACTGTAATTGCAGCTGCTCTTCACAGCTAATTGGCCTGGAGGTTAATTCCTCCCAGTTATACCAACAGCAATCAAGGCTCAAATAACAACAAGACTATGCACACCACACAGGGGTGCACCTAAAGTGTCTGGAGCTCAGGTCACTGGGGAGACCATCACTGGGACCTACAGGACACCTACTACATACATAAAAGGCCACTCCACCAACTCCAGGAGACATAGCAGCTCTACCTAATACACAGAAACAAACATAGGGAAGTAGCCAAAATGCGGAGACCAAGAAACATGTCGCAGATGGAAGAACAGAAGAAATCTCCAGAAAAAGACCTAAATGAGACGGAAGCAAGCAAACTACTGGATGTAGACTTCAAAACAATGGTTATAAAGTTGCTCAATAATCTTTCAGTTCGCAGGCCCACGCTTGATCCACTGAGCAACCCACCAGGCAGGTTGCTCAATAATCTTAATGAGGATGTCAAAGACCTAAAAAAGGACCAGTGAGAAATAAGGTCAGTGGTCGGCAAACTCATTAGTCAACAGAGCCAAATATCAAGAGTACTTCTTCAAAACAGACTCGCCCAGGCCAAAAACCGACTTCTGTGCATGGGCCACGAAGTTTCAATTGCACTGTACGTGCATGCCACACTTGGCATTTTATGGAAGAGCCACACTCAAGGGGCCAAAGAGCTGCATGTGGCTTGTAAGCCGCAGTTTGCCGACCACTGCACTAACTAAAATGAAGAATATTTAAAGCCAATCAAAAGTAGAGGATAATGAGAATCAAATCAGCGATTTGGAATATGAGGAAGGAAAAAACACCCAATCAGAAGTGCAAAAAGAAAAATGAATCCAAAAATATGAAAACAGTGTAAGGAGTCTCTGGGAAAATCAAGCATACACCAACATTCGCATTATGGGGGTGCCAGAAGGACAAGAGAGAGAGCAAGATACTGAAAACTTATTTGAAGAAATAATGACAGAAAACTCTCCTACCTGGTGAAAGAAATAGACTTACAAGTTCAGGAAGCACAGTGAGTCCCAAACAAGAGGAACCCAAAGAGGCCCACACCCAGACACATCATAATTAAAATGCCAAGAGGTAAAGACAAAGAGAGAATCTTAAAAGCAGCAAGAGAAAAGTAGTTACTTACTTGCAAGGGAGCGCCCATAAGACTGTCAACTGATTTCTCAACAGAAACTTTGCAGGCCAGAGGGAATGGCAAGAAATATTCAAAGTGATGAATAGCTAAGACTACAACCAAGAATACTCCACCCAGCAAAGCTCACATTTAGAAATGAAGGTCAGATAAAGAGCTTAATGACAACAAAGAGCTAAAGGAGTTCATCACCACCAATAAGTATTACATGAAATGTAGAAGGGTATTCTTTAAGAGGAAGGAGAAGAAAGAAAAAAGATAAAAAATATTAACAATAAAATGGCAATAAATACATGTCTATCAACAAGTGTATCTACAAATCAAAATAAATAAACAAGAAATCTAGTTAACAAAATAAAGAGTGATGAATAAAATAGAACCAGAGTTATGGAAACATGGAACAGACTGACAAATCTCAAAGGGAAAGGGGCAGAGGGGAGTGGGAAGCAATTAAAGAAAAAACTTATATATATATATGCATTACCTATGGACACAGACAACAGGGTGGTGAAGGCCTGAGGCGGAGTGGGAACCAGGGGCAGGGGGGCAATGTGGGGATAGAAGGGGTACATCTGAAATACTCTCAACAATAAAGATTTTTTAAAAACCCCCACAGAGTGTGCTGTCATAAAGACAGACATATAGTCCAATGGAACAAAACAGAGAGCCCAGAAATAAACCCTCACATATGTTGTCAAATGATTTTTGACAAGGGTGCCAAGGCCATTCAATGAAAAGAGGGTAGTCTTTTCAACAAATAGTATCAAAAAAAACAGTATTTACAATCAAAAGAATGAAGTTGGACCCTTACTTAACACCTATGCAAAAATTAACTCAAAATGGATCAGAGACCTGTGTGTAAGAGCTAAAATTATAAACTCTTAGAAGAAAACATAAGGAAAAAGCTTCACAACAAGGATTTGGAATGACTTCTTGGATATGACACCAAAAGAATAGCAACAAAAATTTTTTAAAAAAATTGAACTTCATGAAAATTTAAAATTTTGTGCATAAACAGACAAGGAATTAACACCCAGAACTTAAAGAGAACGTCTAAAACTTAACAGTAACAAAATCCAAACAATCCAATTTAAAAAAGGGAAAGGACTTGAATAGACATTTCTCCAAAGACAGACAAGTGGCCAACAAGCATATAAGAAGATTTTCAACTCGCCAATCATTAAGAACATGCAAATCAAAACAGCAATGAGATACCACCTTGCCCCAGTTGTTAGGATGGCTACTTGTCAGAACGAGAAAATAACAAGTGTTAGCAAGGACGAAGAGAAACTGCAATCCTTTACACTTTGGTTGGCGTGTAAAATGGCGTAGCCACCGTGGAAAACAGTTTGGCAATTATCATATGATCCGGTAATTCTAGTCCTGGATATACACCCAAAAGAACTGAAAGTAGGGACTCAAAGAGATGTTTGTACACCCATGTTCATAGCAGTGTTCTTCACAATTGCCGAGGGTGTAAACAACTCAAGTGTGCATCCCCAAGATGTGCAACAAATGGAGTATTTTATTCAGCCTTAAGGAGGAAATTCTGACACGTGCTACAACATCGCCTGTCACAAGAAAACACAGACACTGCCTGATCCCACTTACATGAGGCACCTGAGGAGCCAGTTCATAGCAACAGAGAGTAGAATGGTGGTTGCCAGGGGGGAAGGGGGAGGATGGGGAGTCATTGTTTAACGGGGAGAGCTTCAGTTTTACAAGGTGAAGAGTTCTGAAGACGGATGGTAGTGACGGCTGTACAACAATATGAATGCACTTAGTGGCAGGGAATCATACACTTGAAATGGTTAAGAAAGAAAGTTTAGTTGGGGGTGGGAAGGCCTGGCTCCTGGTCAGGACCTGGGCTCCAGGCCCAAGGCCTCCATTGAGAGGGGGCAGCAGCAGGGCTGGCTGCAGGGCAGGGATGAGAAGACACCTGTCACTCTCAGCTCCTCATGAGAAGGGTCATGTGAGATGACTGCACAGCTCCCTCGTGAGGAAGGTAAAAAGTGCAGACAAAACTGAGCTCTGACTATGTGAATTATGGATGAATTGTCTATTTTATAAATTGAACTCCCTTTGTCTTCTAGGCCTTCACTGCGGCCAGGAACCACCCAAAGGCCACTGCTGGAGGCAAGAAGAGGGGAGGGGGTTCCCAGCCTGGCACTCGCTGGGACTCCCACCCCGTCCTTCCAGATGGGGGTCAGGAAAGGGATCAGTGAGGAGGCTGTGGGAGCAGAGGGGAAAGGGGAAGCTGCAATGGAATCAGGAGCAGCAGTTCCCAACCCCTCACCACACCTGATGCACACATCTCCCACCTCGATGCTCACTTCTGTCTGCAAGGAGAGTGGTTCTCAACCAGGGGCCGTTTTGTCCTCTAGGGGATACCTGGCTGTGTGCAGACGTTAGTGAGTCACAACTGAGGGGCGAGGTGTGCTACGGGAATCTATAGGTGGCAGCCAGGGACGCTAAATTCCCTACAACACATAGGACCCCCCCCCCCCCCCCCCAGCACACACACAGAGTGGCCTGAAGTGTCAGCAGTGCTGAGGGCCCACAGGCCGTGCTCTGGAAAGGCGGGCAGAGGCAGCTTTGCTGGGAACTCTGGGAAAGCAGGACTCCTGCTGTGATGCCCCCACTGTGTCGAAGGAGCAGCGCAGGGCGGCACCTGCTGACTCCTCCTTTCCTCGGGAGCAAGGTCAGGCGCCACTGGCTTCCTGCTCTCCTAATCGCACAGCTGCCGCCCCACCCACAGGCAGTCCTGGAGCAGCTGGGCCCTTCCCCACGGAGACGACCACCAAGGCACCGCCTCCCACCCTGCCTCTCCTGCCAGAGCTTGGGTTTCTACCTGCTCTCAGTAGCAGGTTCATCAGATCTGAGTTTATTTTTAAACCAATAAGCACTCTAGCCAATAGTTCTTTTTCCTACTTTCTGCCCGATTCTAAGCTACTCTTAAAGGAAACATGAGCGGCAGCACAGGGTGTTGAAATCTTGGCTTCGGGAGTTAAGATCCCTGTATGCTCATGGGCAGGTTAAACGCGGCGTAACTGTTCTTAGCCACAGGGATGCTGTCCTGAGTAAATGAGTCACACCACCAAGTGCAGAGAACGGTGTCTGGGACCCGGCGGGCACGTGGTGAGTTGGCCACCAGTACCGTGGATGCCCCGAGAACCCAGTTCCGACCCAGCAAGCTGCTAACCCAGCAGGCAAATCTCCTTAGCGTTTCTGTGAAAGAAGACAAGCTGGTTTCTAACAAAGTCACCTTCCCTTTGGGAATAAACAGTTACAACAGACCCCGCTGTAACTTGCCGTGACTTCGCTATCTAGTTGGTCACTTTTATCTTTAGGAAAATGCTTTCGGAGAAATGAGGCCCAACTACCACACACACGATGAGGAAGCCGGTGCGGTCCAGAGCTGCGGGCAGCGAGTTCCGACCTGCTGGCAGAGCCCGGGTGCGCCTCAGCCATGTAACAGGATACATACCTTGCTCCCCGTGAGCTGTGCAAGGTGAGGTTTCAGCTCTTCTCCGATTACGGAATAAATTGCCACCAAGCAGAACACACTGGCCTTCCGCACACTACTTTCAGTGTTGTCATAACCCTACAGAGTCGGAGGGGAACACAGAAAGGAAACGAGATCAAAGATTCATTTCACCGTCAATATTTCAACATTTCCACAAATGCCCTCAGAGCTCAACCTTGGACTTGTCAAAACAACCAGGGTGTAACTCAGCTCTGCACCTGATCCAGGGAGCTTCCCGGAGGCTGGGAGCTGCAGCCGACCTGCCCCGCCCGGGCCACTGCAAGGAACTGCCACAGCAGCCCCCCAAGCATCGAGGGAGACATAACAAGGAAGAGGTGAAGGGGGACAATAACTTGCTTCTTTCGTACTTTCCGGAAGGTAAAAAAAGTTTCATGTGTGAAAACCCTTTATAGAAATGAGAACTACACACTCTCGTGCCCGGACATCAGTTAGCACCGGCTAGAGCTGGACCTCAACCTACCGTCGCCTCATCCACCCCCCCCCCCCCCCCCCCGCCCGAGGGACCTGCCTGCTGTTCCCCACACGGACTCCAGGACTTCCCAGCCACTGTCGTCCCCTCTGCCTGGCGTAACCCCGGCCCCGCGCTCAGCAAACAGCAGCACCACACGTGGCTCTGATTTCTCTCTACCCTGCCCAGGGAACTCTCTCTCCAGGACCCCACGCGACACTGCCTCCCGGATGAGCCCTTCTCTCTCTGCTACCTGCCAGGAACCGCCACTCGTGCTCTGTTTCCAGCTGTCAGCACGCACCTCCCTGGGTAGCTTAGCACAGCCCCGGCGTCTCCGCTCGGCCATGCAGGCTGCGGCCCCTGAGGTGATGCCGATCAGTGGAGACCATCTTCCCCCGGAGCCTATCTAACTCCACGTCTCATGCTCAGGGGGGTTCCAATCCACATTTGCTGGGTCGGTGAGAGCAGGACCACTGTCTGGTTTCCCACTCCACGGCCCACCTGCCCAGGGCTGGGGCCCACAGATGTGCAATAAGGGTTTGTTGAAGGAATGAACAACAACAATGATCCAAATATGTTTACAATAAACAGAGTTCATTCTCCAGCCCAGTTCCAGGCTGCCAGGACACCTCCCTGCTGCACTCTGGGGAGGGTAGACTGGGAGCCGAGAGAAAAGACGTGAGGCAGCCACGCCACACAGCTTCCCAGGTTCTAAAACAGGTCACCTCCCGACTTTCCCTACCTGCCCTGCTTCAAGCGAGCAAGGGAAGCCAGGCCCCGTGCCCCCTCGCACCCCTGAGGGGGTGTGGCACCGCGCCCAGCCCACCTGCAGCAGGCCCGGGATGATGTCAGCCAGCAGCTGCAGCAGGGACTCCCTGGCGATCCTCTCCACGACCTTGGTCTGCATCTTGATGGCAGCCAGGTTGATGGGGTAGTCGGCCGTCTGGATGATGGGGCAGAGCACTTTGATGCACTGCTCCGGGTGGATGGAGCTGGCCAGAGTGGACGCAGCTTCCTCGGCGGCTCTCACCACCTGAAACACAGGTCCCCCCGAGCGTGAGTGCCACAGCCAGGAGCAGCCAGAACAGTGCTCCTAATTCCAGAGGCGAGCGACATGCTTCGCTCAATGCCACCGTCACTTCCTCGGGCCAATGTTGTTCCAGAAGTTTGAAGGGTAATTTCCCAGGGGTATGGAGGCCTTGGGAAGGCGGGTACAGTGGATTTTGGCAAAAACCTTAGAAAAGTGGTTCTCTGAGTGCAGCCTGCCCCACCCCTCCACCGCAGCAGCAGCTGCGACCTCCTTAGGAGGGCCACCTCCCCAGGCCCCAGACCCGCGGCCTCAGGCTGTGGGCTGGGGCCGCAGCGTGTCAAGCACTCGGAGATTCTTAGGTGCAGGGACATTTGAGAGTCTGCCCGAGGAGATTGGACCCGAGAACAGAAACACTCCCCGCGTCTGTGGGCCCCACAGCAGGAATAACGAGAGAAATGGAAGGAAGTCGGAGTGGCCACAGCACGCGGGTTCCAGCTGCAGGGAGGGTCCCGAGCAGCCCTGAGAAAGCTGCTCGTCCGGCTCACGCGCTCACCTCACCACAGAGGAGCAGCTGACCTGTGAAGGGGCCCCGGCGCACTGGGACACACGAAGGGCCACAGGCACCCTGTCATAGGGGAAGCCAAGTGCAAAGCCCAGAGAACAGGACGGGCAGGGGTTTGGGCTCAGAGAGCTGGAAGCAAACCCTAGCCCATCATTCACACAGGCGAACCCCACCTCCTGGTCCGTAAAAACAGATCATCTGAGGAGGGATGGAGATATCTGGCCAGTCAGTAAATGGCAGATTTTAACTACTACTGATAAAAAGGAGTACATACATAAATGATACGCGAAAACACCAAACCGTAAAGAGGTATGCATTTCCTTACAAACACAGTGAAAATCCAGCACATTTATCCTCGGGCCAGCCCGCCCTGTCCCTCTATCAGAACCACTCCACAGTCCCCAGCAAGGTGGGTCCGCCCTGCTCCTGTCTGCCGGAGGATTTGTTCTGTTTAAAGAAGCTGAATTCTCAGTCACATTTCTTTCTTGTTGGGGACCCTCTGGGCTTTCCCTGAGAGGACCAGATATCTCCTTCAGACATGACTAAAGGGTAAGTGTCTTGTTAAATAAGCTCACCTGCTCACCCCACCATCACCTGGTCAGCATGCTCATGGACACAAAGCATACACCTAGGATTATGCATTAATCCCTTAAAGAGCCAAATGGAGACCCAGGTTAGCAGGGTTCAAGGGCAAATACTGTGTGCCTGTGAGGACACAGGTGTGAAGAGCATCCAAGACTTGTCTGTGTTTCCTATACACATAAAAGGTGAGGCTTGGCTGCGAAGCATAGCGGAGAAGTGATTTTTAAGAGTCATGTTCTACCCTCAAAAAGCTCATACGATTCTTAAGATTTTCACAGCCCCAGCAATTTTTTTTCTCACCACCCTTCTCCCTGCCTTCCAGCTGTGCTCAGTGTGTGCATCCAATCAGTCCTATGTGTCGGGGGCTAGCTCAGAGCTCAGACCAGAGGTGCAGACAGTGGGCCCCGGCCTTGCCCTCCGGGTGCTGGGCAGGTGGGGTAGTCCATACAGAGGGCAGCGTGAGGATGCAAAGGCCCAGGAAATGGCGGCCGAGGCCAGGGAAGCAGGTGGGGCCAGGTGGTGGGAATCTGCTACCTGAGGAGCTTCTTACAGTTGGCCAGGCCTGGGCAGAGGGTGGTGAGGGATGGGAAGTAGGAGGACTGTAGCAGGATGCTCCGGTGTTCTGCAGGAATTCTTCCAGCTCCAGGGCTCCCAGCCCTACAGAGCCAGCTCCGCCTGCCTCTCTCCTGCACAGCAAGCCAGTGATGTGAGTTGGCCACAGCAGACCGGGCTTGCATGCACCTCAAAATAAGTGGGCGGGCTTCCCTGTCAGCAAGCATTAACTGAGTCACATCCACGGGACGCCACGTTAGTTTACGGACACATGGAAATGAGAGTATTTAAAAGAAACCCGCGGTGAGTTTTTCTTGACAACTCAATCTCCTGCGGAGTGCAGCTTTTCCTACACAGATGCCTGAAAGTAGAGTGCTGTTTGGCCCTGGTGTGCACACGACCTTTACCCCTTTACCCCACGAAAGCAGAGTCCAGTTTGCGTGGGCACATTCTCAACCTCAGAGAGCACCACACACAAACCTCAGCTCGACCCTCTGGCGAGGAACTGCATTGGTCTGAGCCACAATTTTTAAAAACTCTAAAAGGAGGATTTAAAAACGCAGACTACCCTGGCTGGGTAGCTTAGGACATCGTTCCGATAGCCCAAGAGTGCAGGTCTGATGCCAGTCAAGGCACATACAAGAACCAACCAATCAATGCATAAACAAGCAGAACAGCACACCGATGTTTCTCTCGCACTCAAACCAATAAGAGCCCTGCTGTCACTGTTCTTTGGGTGAAGACAGTATACGAGTGACCGCCCCTAGGAAACACATGAAGGTACCAGCAGGCCTTGCTGAAGGGACACAGCGGCCAGCCGGAGCTGGGGCTGCCAGAGCGCAGAGCTGTCCAGAGGATGCCTCCTGCCTGGCTGCTGCCCACGTCGACGCCCTTCAATCAGCATGGCGGGCCAATGAGGCCTGGCTTTGGCTGGTCCTTCTAGCTGAACTTCCCACTGTGCCCTGGTAATGCCAAGCTGAGGGCCCGCCCTGCACAGGCCCAGCCGGCCAAACCTCAGTGCCCACGTCTAGTCCCTGTACATTCCCTGAATGTGGATCATGCCTGCCCTTCACCTGGCTAGGCCTAGCCACCCCTAGGAGCCAGTCGCTTTAGCAGAACTGCAGGAAGCTCTGTGTGCACACTGCACGCCGCACCTAGACATCCGCTGGGCGTCTCTGCCACCTGACTCCCTGCACCTAGACATCTGCTCAGCGTCTCTGCCACCTGACTAGCAGCTCCGGGAGGGCCAGCATGCACCTCAGCCACTGTGCTCTCCCGCACGTCCAGCACAGGCCATGTCCACTGTACATTAGGGACATTATAAACGTCTGTCGAACCAACTTTCCCCTCGTGCATGGAGTTGTAAAGTACTCACAACTGGCAGTCGCCCCTCGGCATGCCTCGCTGATCTGCATCCACATGCTCCAGCTAAGGAGTGGCCCAGCCATTAAGGAGGAGGCAAGATGTCTACCAATGACCCACATGAGCCTCAGGAAAGCCCGGCACCAGAGTGCCCCCTTCCAGGTGACATACTGGAAAGGACGACACATATCTGTTCTTCGGCAAAGACTTCCGTTCAGGTGAGCTTCTCCCTACAATGCTGTCTGAGAGGGCAGCCTGTCCTGGAAGAGCTCCATCATGCGGTGCGTGATCGGAGATGAAGTGCTCTTCTTCCTCCTCCGCTCCTGCACACCCCACGCTGAGCTGGGTAGCTTAGGACATCACCTTAGGACAAGCACAAGCACCCTGACATGCTAGCCAGAAAGGAAGCTGAGGAAACGGTGGGTCTTAGCTCTTAAACTTGGAAAAAACAAAAGGATCAGGAGACTCTGAATGATTTCATAGATAAATCCAAGTTAGAAAACAGTGATGTACAGAAACAGACATTTAAGATCCCAACAGGAGCCCTAGTTGGTGTGGCTCAGTGGATAGAGCATCAGCCTGAAACGAAGGGTCCCTTGTTCGATTCCAGTCAGGGCATATGCCCGGGTTACAGGCTCGATCCCCAGTAGGGGGCGTGCAGGAGGCAGCCTCGCTGATCTGCATCCACATGCCGATCAATGATTCTCTCATCACCGGTGGTTCTCTCTCTCCCTCTCCCTTCCTCTCAAGAATCAATAAAAATATTAAAAAACAAAAAACAAAACCAACAGGAGATGGGAAGCAGCCGTGGGTGGGAAGGCGTGGGCTTTAGGGACAGACTGGGATTCAGGCTCAGCAGTGGCCCTAACAGTCACAACAGGAACAAACTAACCCTCCCTGGGCGCCTCCCAGGAGTCTCCGGGCACAGAGGCAGGAAGCAGCGGCCAGGTGCACATGAGACCTGCCGCAGGCTCCTCCTCCCCGCCAGGCTCTGTGCTCACTGTCATCAGGTGCGGTGAGCTGCTGCGGACACGGAAGGCTTCGGATCTACGGAACTCACACCCGAACCAAGGAGACCTCCCTTCTACAAAACTCCACAGCACGAAGCAGCTAATCCCATGCACCTAACACAGGGAGGCTTCTAGAATTCCTGAAAGCAGAATGCAGACGCTGCTCCTCCAGGTGGGCGTGGCGGCACTCCCTCGAGCTGTAGTCGGACCCCAGGACAGCTCTTCCTGCCAAGGCAGGTCGGTGCTCCTAGCTTTGCCGTACATGCCAAACCCCGGCTTTGGCAGGCTGCTTGAGTCAGGGTGAACTTTAGGTTTTGCCCTGAGTTCTATGTAACATAAGAAGCAAAGATTAGCAATGTAAGCACATGGAGAGCAAAAGTAAACATGGGCAACAGAAGGAAGGGAGGGCAGACAGTTTAGTAGATTAGATGTCAGGAGGAGGCAAGGATTTAGAAAGGGGGGTGGGCGTATGCATGAGAGACAGCAAATTAAAGAGACTTTTGGATCATAATCCACCTTGAAGCTGTCACAATTATTCCAATTCTGGTGATTTTGCTAGTCTGGTTAGAAACATAGAAATTCTTCCTTTTCAAAGTTAGTGAAATAATATTGTCTAGCAAGGAAAAGCATAATTTCCTTATCTAACTTTTTTAAAAAATGAGATCATTACTCAGAATACTAGAGAATGTTTGCTTAAAGATAAGGTTTCTTTTGGAGCAAAGAACTTGTCAAAATTTGAATTGCATGTTTTAATAAGTTTGATCTGGCCCTGTCACAGACACATCAGAATAACAGGCTCAATAAAAACATAAATAAATAAATAGATAGATAACAAACGCCCAGAATCAAAGTGCTCTTCCCAGTGGGTACTCCCAGCTTAGCTCTGCAAACACTTGGGAGCCAGGGAAAAGGTTGGGATTTAAGGTGCAGCGTCC